GGGGGCATCTGGTATTGGCTAGGGTGGGCAGACAGGACACTGGGCTGAATGGACCTTTGGTTTGACCCGGTCTAGCCATTCTTATGGGTGTGACATGATGTTCACACTGAGCCACAATAATTTTAAAACTTTATTAAAATATCTGGACAGGAAACCCAAGAGCCATGCGAGTAGCAAAATAAACCAGGGTTGCCAATCCCGGATTATTAGTCTAAAATAACCTGGGGACCATGGACAAAGGACAAGCCTTGTGTTGGGTACAGCTGTTCACGGCCTGGTTTCTCAGATGTTGGCTGAGAGGAGTAGCAGCTAATGCCAAAAGCTGCGCTGTTCACGGCCTGGTTTCTCAGATGTTGGCTGAGAGGAGTAGCAGCTAATGCCAACAGCTGCCTGAAGCTACTAACTTAGTTTACTGAACTGTCTGACCTAAATCTGGATTAAACTAAGAGACTATTAGGAACAAAAGGGTTTAAAGAGACAGTGTAGAGGCCAATCTCAGCTCCTGACTCTTCCTGCCCTTTATCTTCATTTCCCTAATTTCTAATCTAAACTAAAACACTCCCTCCCTAGCTCTCCTCGATCGCTTCCCTATTACAGGACTGGAAGGGACCTCAAGAGGTCATCGAGTCCAGCCCCCCGCCCTCAAGGCAGGACCAAGATCCACCTACACCATCCCTGACAGATGTCTATCTAACCTGTTCTTAAATATCTCCAGAGAGGGAGATTCCACCACCTCCCTTGGCAATTTATTCCAATATTTGACCACCCTGACAGTTAGGAATGGCCCTCAAGGCAGGACCAAGCTCTGTCTACACCATCCCTGACAGATGTCTATCTAACCTGTTCTTAAATATCTCCAGAGAGGGAGATTCCACCACCTCCCTTGGCAATTTATTCCAATATTTGACCACCCTGACAGTTAGGAATTTGGAGTTACCATGGAGTTTGGGGCACCTTGTTTCATAAGCGGAGGAGCTTGGCTCCTCCATCTAGGTCCAAATTTAACTTCCTCACCCACAAACCCTTGGGCTGAACTTCCTCCAAAGGCTGGACACACGTATCCTGATGACATGTAGATCCATGTTCACAATATCAGATCAGTCTCACCTGTGTTATTTCTGTGTATTCCTTGTGGGGTAGTTGTTAACATTGGAGCACATTCTTGGCAGCTCCTCCTCCATGGAAAGTCCCTCTAATTTATCACCATCTCTCCAGCTAAAAGGTCCCACACACATGCAAGTCGTCTTTTGCTATCTGGGTGCAAGGGCCCAGACAAAAATACGAACTTGCCTTTGGTTAACATACCCCCCGCTGAGAAATTCCTGGGAGTCGCTGGGTCTGGGGAGCGGAAGAGAAAGGAACAGGAGGGGGCCGTAGGAAGAAGAGGCAGAACACAGGCAGGACTTGAGGAAACAGGGGGGGAAGATGGTAGATGGACCAGCGGGGATGGAGATTCCACCCCCTCCCTAGGGAACCCATCCCAGTGCTTCACCGCATTCCTAGGGAAATAGTTTTTCCTAATATCCAACCTAGACCTGCCCCACTGTAACTTGAGGCCATTGCTCCTTGTTCTGCCATCTGCCCCCACTGAGAACAGCCTCTCTCCAGACTCTTTGGAACCTCCCTTCAGGAAGTTGCAGGCTGCTCTCAGATCCCCCCTCACTCTTCTCTTCTGCAGACTAAGCAAACCCAAATCCAAGTTATTAACCTGTTCTTTCTCCACCAAGGGCTGCCCACCTCCTCCACATAGTGTGTTGCCTAGTGCAGTCGTCTGGGAGCTGAACTTGTGTGTGAAGACTGAGGCACAGAGAGCATTGAGTACTTCAGCTTCTCCCACACCATCTGTCACTAGGGTACCTCCCTCTTCTAATAAGGGCCCCACCCTCTCTCTGATCACGCGCTTATTGCTAACATGCCTGTAGAAACCTTTCTTGTTACCCTTCACATCCCTTGCTAGCTTCAGTTCCAATTGTGCTTTCACTATAATATCTCTCGGATTGCCCAGTCTGTAACTGCGAGAAGAGGGCCCATGCCACCAGTCCACTCTGCCTGAATTGCCGTATCAGTTCCCAAGCCCCAGAAAAATAACTTATGTCCTTTTCCATGTAAACAGCCAGAGCAGCTTGCCCCAGATCTGTTTGGTCCTCACCCCGTAGATGATGGGGTTCAGCATAATGGGCACCAGGAGGCACACGTTGGCAATGAGAATGTGGAAATGCAGGGGTATATTGTGGCCAAACCGGTACATGAGGGAGGTAAAGACACCTGGGATGTAAAAGGCTAGGATGGCACACAGGTGGGAGCTGCAAGTCTCAAAAGTCTTAAGCCGGGCATCCTTGGTGGGGAGTCTGAAGATGGCCCTGAGGATCTGCATATAGGACAGAGCGATAAAAATCACATCCAGCCCCAACACACAGAAGAGCACAAAGAGGCCGTAGTAACTACTGACCCGGGTGTCGGCGCAGGCCAGCTTCACCACGGCGATGTGCACACAGTACGGCTGGGGGATGATGTTGGTTCTACAATATGGCCACTGCCTCGCCAGGAGGGGATAGGGCAGTACGAGGATGCCACCACGCAGCACTGCACTCAGAGTGATCTTGGCCACCACGGTGTTTGTCAGGATGGTGGAATGTCTCAAGGGATCACAGATGGCCACGTAGCGATCAAACGCCATGGCCACAAAGATCCCCGACTCTGTCACTGAGAAGCTGTGAAAGAAGTACAGCTGGGTGAGGCAGGCATTGAAACTGATCTCCCTGGAATTGAACCAGAAGATGCTCAGCATTTTGGGCAGGATGCACGTGGACAAGACAATGTCGATGACAGCCATCATGCAGAGGAAATAGTACATGGGCTCATGGAGTTTTCGCTCTGTCTTTATAATGAAGAGGATGATGAAGTTCCCCAAGACGGCTATGATGTACATCATGCAGAAGGGGATGGAGATCCAGACATGGGCTGCCTCCAGGCCAGGGATGCCCAACAGGATGAAGGTGGAGGGGTTGGTGAAGTGGGTTGTGTTGGAATCTGACATAGAGCAGGGAAGAAAGTGTCCAACCCTAAGGCAGAATGGTACCTCTTGAATGTACCGTCCACTCCCCTGAGGTCCTGTACGTGCCCAGGGTCTAGGGTGATGGTGACAGTCAAAATGCCTGGATGGAGAGACAATGTTAATATAAGACATGAAATGCACAATCGGAGGCTGCATTCAGGGATGAAATATATTGGATGCTCTTCACACTTTAAAAAAATGATATTGTCATTGGTCATCTGAAGAAGTGGGCTGTGCCCACGAAAGCTCATGATACCATCTATATGTTTTGTTAGTACATAAGAACATATGAACAGCCGCACTGGGTCAGACCAAAGGTCCATCTAGCCCAGTAGCCTGTCTGCCGACAGTGGCCAGCACCAGGTGCCCCAGAGAGGGTGGACTGAAGACAATGATCAAGCGATTTGTCTCCTGCCATCCCTCTCCAGCCTCTGACAAACAGAGGCCAAGGACACCATTTTATTCCCCTGGCTAATAGCCTTTTATGGACCTAACCTCCATGAAATTATCTAGCTTCTCTTTAAACTCTGCAATAGTCCTAGCCTTCACAGCCTCCTCTGGCAAGGAGTTCCATAGACTGACTACATGCTAGTCTATAAAGGTTACACGCCATGGAACACAAGCCATACGAAAAAGCTGAATTAACTGGCTATGTTTAGTTTGGAAAGAGGAGATGAAGTGGAGACATGACAGGGATCTTTGAATATGCCAATGGTTGCCAGGAAGAGGTGGTGCAAAGTTGTCCTCTTGCCACAGAGGGCAGGGCAAAAGCAAATTGGTTCAAAAGTTTGCACAGCAAATTGCAATGACGTCTCAGGGGAAAAATCCCTCCCTGTAAGAACAGGAGGACAATGGAATAGACGACTTGGGAGATTGTGAAATCTCCTTCACTGGATTTCTTCTGAATAAGGCAGAACACCCAACTGTCTGGGGTGGTTTAGACGGAACACGTCCTGCATTTTGGCTGGGGGTCAGACTAACTGGACTTTCGGTCCCTTCTGTCCCTGTGGCTCTGTGATTCTAGAATGCAAAATCCTAGTGAACCAGATGAGCTCCTTGCCATAGGCATTACTGGAGCAAAGCGCTTAGCTGAATAGGATTAGCAAATGGATTGGGCACAGTAGGTGGAACCAATGACACTATGTAATCAGCGAAGGCTTTCTGTCACCGTCAGGGAGAAGACCTCAATTTCCATTGCTTTTACATTTCCAAATGTTAAGTGTTTGGCTTGAAAAATCCCAGGTAGGGTATCTGCTTCTGATTCCTTCCTTTTTTTAAAAAAAAGTTTTAGGCATGATAGTTCAGCCAATTTCTCAAACAAACCTACAAGAGAAGTTGTCTTGTCTGTGTTGAAAACTTATTTTATTTGTTCCAAAGAGGAACCCTTGAATCTCCATCTGACAGAGACATCTTTAAGGGGAAGGTCTACTAATAGAGATTCTCTATGTTCTAGTCAGGAGGATGGAAGATGATAACATGTGGGTAAGATCAGATGAAAAACCGTCAAATAAAAGACAGTCTAACACATCAGGAAACTGCAGACGGAAAAACAGTGACACATTTTTAAAGTGCTTCTACACAAATGCTAGACGTCTAAATAGTAAAATGAGTGAACTGGAGTACCTTGTATTAAAGGAGGATTTTGATAGAATAGGCCTCTCATAAACCTTGTAGAATGAGAAGAATCAATGGGACACAGTCATACCAGGATACAAAATATATTGGAAGGATAGAACAGGTCATGTTAATAGGGGTGGGGCACTACAGGCAGTCCCCGGGTTACGTACAAGATAGGGACTGTAGGTTTGTTCTTAAGTTGAATCTGTATGTAAGTCGGAACTGGTGTCCAGATTCAGCCGCTGCTGAAACTGATCAGTTTCAACAGTGGCTGAATCTGGACGCCAGTTCTGACTTACATACAGATTCAACTCAAGAACCCCAGGCATCCCCAAGTCAGCCGCTGCTGAAACTGATCAGTGGCTGATTCCAGGAAGCCCGGGAATTTCGAGAAATCCTTTAATCCGTGTGGAACGTGGGTGAGTAACGGTGCACAGAAAACAGGGCCATTTTGGCTCAAGATACTAGAAAAAACTCACCCCTAGGATAAGGTCCCTGGGATGTTCACTGGCTGTGTAGAATGGCAAGGACCCCAGATTTCCTGTGTATTTTCTCATGTTCTTGTTGCAGTGAATGTGGGGACCAGGTGAGCTCTTCAGCAAGGGTCGGTACCTGTGAGTGCTGAGAGGGACGTGTCTTCCCTGGGAACCCTCCTCAAGTAGCCGCGTCCCGCACCTCTCTCAGCCCAGCATCTGCAGCAGCATCTCACGCCAAGAGCCGGCACAGGGCCATGCGCTGGTTATAACCCAGTTCTCGGCCACCCTGGGGGGTTCACTTGGCCTCTGGGGGAGAAGCAGTTTCTGAATGTAACCAGGCAGGAGACTGGCCTGTCTGGGCCTCTGTGCTAATTATCCAGTGTTAGGAGTAAACAATGTTTTAGGAACCTTCCCAAAGGCAGAGGAGATGTTTTGGGCTCTGAATTGAGTCATGGAGGAATTGGCTGCTCTGTGAGCATATTTTATAATTGTAGTTGATGAGGAAAAAGAGCTGGAGAAAATGCCGAGCTGTCTGTAGGGACTGATGCCCTGTACATGCTCAGTAGGGATGGATCGCTATCAGACAGAAAGTTCTGGAGAGAGCTGACTGAGGGGAAATACTTCGAACACACAGGGCTGTTGCTAAGGGATCAGAGATCTGTAATTTTCATGGGTAGCTACCATCGCATGGGGCATCTTCTTTCATTGAAATACCTTAAAAACATGTATCAGAGGGGTAGCCGTGTTAGTCTGAATCTGCAAAAGCGATGAGGAGTCCTGTAGCACCCTATAGACTAACTGAAGTGTAGGAGCATAAGCTTTCGTGGGCAAAGACCCACTTCGTCTTAAAAACATGGAGCAGCAGGGCGTTCGGCATGACATCCACACTGGATGGGACCAGGGCAGGGCAGCTCCATGGGTGCTGGCTGGAGAGCTGGGCGTGTTTGGGCTGTAACCTCTTCCATTGGGGGCTCAGGCAGTGTCTGGTAGAGCATCCATGAACGCCGCTGGGTGCAGGACCTGCCTGTGGATGTTGGGGTGAGGCAGAATGGGGGAGTTGCCACTTGAAATTCACAACACAGGAGGGAACCCAGCTACAGAAGGCAAAGGACTCAGTTCTCTCTCAGATCCAGCTGCCACCCTGAAGGGCCAGGAGGAACCCATCACAGAGGTGTCCCAATGAGTGATGGGAGAGGAGATGAGCACGCAGGAGGGAAGGACACTTGGAAGAGGCACAAATCTGCCTGGAGCCCAAAGGAAGGTGCGGGGCAGTGGTGCGGCCTTTGGGAAAGAGGTGGGGTCATTGTCGGGGCCTTGGGTGTTCAGTTATAACATAGAAACCCTACAATTGAATGAGTTGCATACAGATCCATTCTCCAAAATGTTACACTTAGAAAGAAATATCAGGAAAGGATCGAATGGTTCTTTGACTAGCCAGTGAGTCACTCACTTGGAAGAGGCAGAAAACTGCCTGGAACCCAAAGGAAAGTGTGGGGCAAAGGTGAGCCCAAAGGAAGGTGCGGGGCAGTGGTGCGGCCTTTGGGAAAGAGGTGGGGTCATTGTCAGGGCCTTGGGTGTTCAGTTATAACATAGAAACCCTACAATTGAATGAGTTGCATACAGATCCATTCCCCAATATGTTACACTTAGAAAGAAATATCAGGAAAGGATTGAATCGTTCTTTGAACAGCCAATGGGTCATTCAGGCAGGCAAGCCCAGCACCAGCCATCTCGGCACGGAGCTCTACCTGAGAGCCAGGACAAAACATTTAGGTCCCTTTCAGAGTAAAAAGCCAGAGCAGCCTGTCCCGGATCTGTTTGGTCCTCACCCCGTAGATGATAGGATTTAGCATGGGCGGCACCAGAAGGTAAATGTTAGAAATAAGAATGTAGACATGCAGGGGTATATTGAGGCCAAAGCGGGTCGTGAGGGAGCTGAAGAGATTTGGAGTGTAAAAGGCTAAGATGACACACACGTGGGAAGTGCAGGTCCCAAAAGTCTTGAGCCGGGCGTCCTTTGTGGGGAGTTTGTAGACGGCCCTGAGGATCAGAATATAGGACACAGCGATAAGAAACATATCCAGAGTATCCCCACAGAACACCACAAAGAGGCCGTAGTTACGACTGACACGGATGTCAGCGCAGGCCAGATTCACCACGTCCATGTGCTCACAGTGCGTGTAGGGGATGACGTTGGTTCTGCAATACGGCCACTGCCTTGCCAGGATGGGAAAGGGCAGTACAAGTATGACACCTCGCAGCACCATGGCCAGGCCGATCTTGGCCACCAGGAGGTTATTCAGGATGGTGGAATGTCTCAGGGGATGGCAGATGGCCACATAGCGATCCAAACCCATGGCCACCAATATCCCAGACTCAATCACTGAGAAGGAATGAACGAAGTACAGCTGGGCGAGGCAGGCACTGAACTCGATTTCTCTGGAATTGAGCCAGAAATTGCTCAGTATTGTGGGCACGGTAGCTGTGGACAGGACCAAGTCAGTGATGGCCAGCATGGAGAGGAAATAGTACATGGGCTCATGGAGGCTCGGCTCTGTCTTCACAATGAACAGGATGGTGATGTTCCCCAAGATGGTTATGATGTACATGATGCAGAAAGGGATGGCGATCCAGACATGGGCCCACTCCAGGCCAGGGATACCCAGAAGGATGAAAGTGGAGGGGTTGGTGAACTCAGATGTGTTGGAATCTGACATGGTTCAGGGAGGAAGGTGCCCAACTCTGACGCAGAACTGTGTCTATTGCATGTGCCGTACGTTCCCCTGACGTCCTGTGTGGGCCCAGGATCTACAGCAATGCTCGCAGTACTAACGTCTGAAAGGACAGAGAACGTTAGTATGAGGTGTGATGCGCACCGATGGTGACTATTTTCATGGTGAAGCAGATCAGTTGCTCTTCAGACCCTTAGAAATTACGTTTTCATTATTCAGAGAAATGAATTGTAAACAAATGACCCTAGTACTGGCAAGTCCATATTTTCCAGTGCTCCCTGTGTCAATCATGTCTACACCTCATGCTGTGGGAAACCAGACAACGCAACAGTAGGAAACCCACCTTGGGGAAAACATCAGGTCCTCACTGATATCAACACCAGAGAAACACTTATTCATTTAGTACAGTGACAGATGGAAAGCCCATGTTTGGATGCCTGATGATGGAGAATGGGATGGAAAATCACCCGGTGGGATATGTGCTCAGTTTTGCTGCCTCGTCTCTGTGGAGGAGACAGCAGATAGAAAAGAGCGTTCTGAAATGAACCGTGGGAATGGGGAGGCTGCAGTGTGGGACGAGACTGAAGAGTCTGTGAGGAAACAAGAAGGGGAAGATGATGGAGGAGAGGAAAGTAAAGCACAGAACTGGTTGCATTCCAATGGGCAAAAAGAGAAGAGTTCCCAACCTATAATATCCGAACCTCAGCACAACTGAGAGGGAGGAAATGTTAGCTGGAGAAATGAGAATGACAATAATACACCTTTAACATGAGTGTATTTGGTCACTGAACAGTTATAACGCCACAGACAAGAAAGTGTATAAAGCAACGTGATCGTTTGGTTGTGCCAGGAAAAGGGGACATGGCTGGAATGGGACGGCTCCTCATGGAACCAAACAGAAAAAGTACAAAATCACCAGATCAAGAACAGTCCTGAAAAGGGACAGAACTCAGTGAATGCTGAGAGAGCCTGAACCGAGATGAGCCGGACTCAGAGAACGAACGGGCAGTAGGATTGCTACTAAATCGGCAGGACAGAAAAGAGATAAAACGGAGAAATTGGCTCTGGCTTGGCACAGCTGAATCAATGTTTAAGCTTTGAAAAATAGAAGATAAGATTTGTGAAACTCAATTGATTATAATCTCTTTTTCTTAAAACATAGTGACTTTATAGGGAGGAAGAACCAATGATGGAATGCCCATTAAAGAACAAGTTACTAATACAAATGAAATAGAAAAAATAATATTTTGAAGAAATCCTAAAGGAAAATTATCTTCATAATAATAAATGTCTATTATTAAAAATACATTAATTAAAATAAAGCATTTACATTTTCCTTTTATTTTGTTAATGTACATTTGCATTTTATTAAAAAAACCTTAAAGGCCCAATTAATGTTGGGTAAATGTCCCTGTTAAGTATGTTAAATATAAGAAAACCTAGGAATCTTTAGTGCAAATCCTACGGTGAGAAAGGAAACTTGCTAATCTTGAAGAAAAAGTAGACGTGTTCAATACATCGTCTTCAAGCTCGAGAAGTCCCTGCCAGTCCTGGGATTCTATAGTGATAGAAATGTAGCCATGTTAGTCTGATGTAGCTGAAACAAAATGCAGGACAATGTAGCACTTTAAAGACTAACAAGATGGTTTATTAGGTGATGAGCTTTCGTGGGCCAGACCCACTTCCTCAGATCAAATAGTGGAAGAAAATAGTCACAACCAAAGGATACAATAAAAAAAATGAACAAATATGAAAAGGACAAATCACATTTCTATCCCCCTACCAACACAAAAGAAAGAATAATTCTATATGGACTCCCCCTGACGGTCGGAATTACAATCTGGATTTCTATATACAAAGCTTCTGCAACAACACACAGACTGACATTATTCGCAAACAACAACAAGCGACACACAATCTCAGCCACGCTGAACACCATGCCATCCAGAGTCTCAAAAACAACCTGGACATTGTAATCAAACCAGCTGACAAAGGGGGTGCTGTGGTCATTATGAATAAGGCCGACTATAACCAAGAGGCAACCAGACAACTCTCCAACACCACATTTTACAAACCTCTCCCCTCTGATCCCACCTCGGAATACCAACAGAAATTACTCTGTCTCCTTAAAATCCTCCCCACAGCTACTCGGGAACAAATCCACACAGAAACACCTTCTGACCCCCGACCAGGATTGTTCTATCTGCTTCCCAAGATCCATAAACCTGGACACCCCGGACGTCCCATCATCTCTGGTATCAGCACGCTCACTACTGGTCTATCCAGCTATGTAGACTACACCTTCTGACCCCCGACCAGGATTGTTCTATCTGCTTCCCAAGATCCATAAACCTGGACACCCCGGACGCCCCATCATCTCTGGTATTGGCACGCTCACTACTGGTCTATCCAGCTATGTAGACTCTCTCCTCAAACCC